ATATATATATATATATATATATATATATGCTATATATATATATTTGTCCTTCGACAAATTCGAACCTGTATCCTATACGAAACCATAATATAGCCTGACGTGCCTTAACCGATTGAGCCACAGAGGATCGTTCGATTGGCAAGATCGATTTTACTGTTTTTTAACTACAAACTTCATGAATCTCTCACGTACATTAGTATCTGCTCAAAGCGTATTCAAATGTAAACAAATGATGTACATATTATGAAAAGGATAAAAGTCCGACAATTATTTAAAATTTTTTTTATGTTTAACATTTTTTTATAGATACAAATATTTGAAGTGAATGCTCTGTTTGTAATAAACAGTATTAAATAACATTTTGGCTTTGAAGGACGAATATTTAAAAAAATTTTCGGACATTCAGGTAAAATGTTGTTTAATACAGTTTATTATAAAAAATATTCATTTAATTAAAATACTTTATCTATAAAAAAGAAAGTTAAAAAAAAAATGTCTTGAAAATATATATATATATATATATATATATATATATATATATATATATATATATATATATATATTAGATAATGATAAAAATATATATATATATATATATATATATATATATATATATATATATATAAATAAAAGAAAGAACAGTAAATCCGGTGTTCTTATAGATATTTTTATTTTTACAAAATAGTGCTCAATGTAAATTTACAGAGCATTAATATTATAAATTAATTGATTTATCTTATATTTTTTTTCGCTACACAGTTCCAACCATGTTTCAAAAAATAGAAGCTAAAAACCCTGAATTTAATTTTGCAATTAAATTAAAAGCATTAGTTCCATTTCATCTTCAAGCGAATTTTGGAGTAATTTAGGATTTTCTATTTTTGAAAGTTTTGGAACTGTGTACGAAAAAACATATATTTTAAATCAATTAATTTAAATTATATATATATATATATATATATATATATATATATATATATATATATATATATGAAATGGACAAAGTCCGACAATTATTTTAAGACATTTTTATGTTTATATACGTTCCTTTTATATATACTAATATTTAAGTAAATGCTCTGTTTTTAATAAACATTATTAACGACATTTACCGGCCTGAATGTCCAAGAAATTTTCAATATTTCAACGCTGAAAATGGCTAAATGTATATCCGAAAGCGTTCGGATAAAAAGAACAATCGGATAGTTTTTATATAATTTATCATTTGAAAAGAAAAAATTATTAAATCGCCTGAGAAATTGTATAAAAAGTAAATAAATGCACCTTGTCTGTCGTATTCAATCAAATATGCATGAAAGAACCATTGCTGTCAAAATACACAAGTATATATATATATATATATATATATATATATATATATATATATATATATTTATATATATATATATTATTTAATGAAACATGCATCAATATATATATTGGCATTGAGCCTTCAGTTTTCAGTCTGTTTTTGTTTGCATGAATGATTTCCAAGCAACGACAAATACGTGCATACTACACGCTGAAACGAAAATCTCACCGCAGCTCATGTCGCCACATGTGACCACGCGAGAGTGAAAACAATTTACATAAAATAAGTCGACAAATCTTGTCTATATTATTTAATGAAACATCCATCAATGTAAAAAAATGCTGCCTAAACACACACACACGATATATATATATATATATATATATATATATATATATATATATATATATATATATATATATATATATATATATATATATATATATATATATATGCATCCATGTTTTATATTAAAAATGATAGACAAGTTACGATTAAGATTTTTATTTGGAACCAATTTAGCCTTACTTTTTTACCCTTAATTTAGTGAAGAAGAGACGTGTTCATGCCTTTTGAAGTGGATGTAGTAAAGATCGCTGGAATCTTAATTTGACTCACCGAATACATTTTTCCCAACGATATGGGTTATACCACCCGCATATCCTATACGTATAGTTCAGCAATGAAATACTTGGCTATTACAAAAGTGGTGACCATATAATTAAAAAAAGAAACATGCATCTTCCCACGTGTTTTTAGTTTAGACATATTAATGTCCGTCCACCCCAGCAATTGAATTATTTTTCATACAGCCAATCGCGAAAAATCGTAATTGGCATTTCGTGCGAGTGGAAGTTAGGGAAAACAGAAAATCGGTTTAGCTTAATGGAACAAACATCACTGATTATTTTCAGGAAAAAAAAAATTAATTGATTTAATGAATAAATACTGTAGTGGTTCAGTGGTTAGCAGATAGGTTAACTCGTGGGGAAGTATCTGGTTTACCAAATATCAAGGAATACTCGAACATTTAGCCGACGAACATTTGGACGAAGGGCATATGGACGACGGACCTTTAACTGAATGGATATTTACCCCAAAATCTAATGGCATACTTACATGTATGTCACACTCTTTATCGTAATGTGTTACATACATTTATTTGCTGTATTAATTTATAATTTTTCGTTTTTTTAGGCTTTTTAAAAAAAATCTATTCTCTATATATTATATTTTACTTCAAATATTACTGTAAGATAAGTACTTTGAGAAAAAGCACATTTTAATACAGCAAAAATCTTAAGCTTTTACGATATGAAAGATTTTCAATTATCGCTTTTAATGATCATTATCTTAAAGGGATAAACCAGCTTTTATCTTATTGTTAAATACAAATTTAAATAATTAAGTGCTACTTTTTAACCAAATACACTCAATTACTTTTAAAAATACTAATTTCAATAAACGAATATTGAAATAAGAAAACTTTTAACTTTAAATTTAGATTTAATAATTTAATCACTTGAAATTCAGTGGTAATTATTAGTCCTATTCTACCCTATAATACTGTTAATTAAAATACTTAAAGTATTGCTTGTTACTATTTTTACTTGTATTTTTTCAGTGAAATGTCCGTTCGGCAAAATGTCCTGTCGGCCAAATGTCCGGTCAGCCAAATGTCTCCCGGCTAAATGTTGCTTTCATTACAAAAATGATAAAAAAATGATACCATATATCCTCGCGTATCATGCGACTTTGAAAACATATTTTGAAGCTAATTTTAAGAGGGTCACATCATACATGAGATATAAAATTTTCATATGTATTGCTGGCCCTGGGTACACCGTTAACCATACTATATATTCATTTACTGTAGTCAAAAAGTACAACTGTATTTAAAATAAACATGATTTTGATAAAACTGATGCTTTACTTAACTGTATCCAATAATAATTCATGTAATATTCACATATTAGTATCATCTTATAAAATACAAACATAGTGAATATGCATCTTTTCCATTGTTTATGTCCATAAGATGTTTAGCTGTTTCTCATTCGGTTGTTTATTCCTGTCCTTTCTAGCTCTTGATAAATTTTGTCTTTTTTTATCTGCTCTAAATCTTCTTCCGTCATCTATTTACTCAAGATCATTAATTACGTTATACATTGTTTTCCTCTATCCATCTTGCCTTCAATATGTCTTGTGAGTATCAAATTTTCCAATCCCTCTGTCCTCATTACGTGCGCTAAAAATTTCAATTGTCTCTTCTTGATGTTTATTATAAGTTTTCTTTTTGTTTCCATTTTCTCTAAAATTTCTCCGTTGCTCATAATTTTGGTCCAGGGTATCCTCAGCATCCTCTTGTACAACCACCTTTTTGCTATCTCAGATCTCCTCTTCCACTGTGAGGAGATTGTCCGGCACTCACTGCCGTATAGAGTGACTGATATTACGTAACAGTTCAGTACTCTTTTCTTTGTTCCTAACAAATTTTCTTCTTTTTCTTAATACTTTGCTTAGCTTCTGCAAGGCATCTTAGCTTTTACTGTAGTGTCAAGCTTAGCAAGGACATCAGACCAGACCAGGGAATTAGTACAGTATACTTCCCGATGGATTCGCTACGATACCTGCTGGGTTAAACTAAGCTCTAATAAATACCTAAGTGCACGTACCATAGCTTGCATGTCAAGCAGAGCTATTCGCTATTGCATTGGATTCATACCAGAAAATAACAGTTGTCTGAATCGAATTTAATGTTCATAAGGGATTTTTTTATCTACGTAGAGTTGACCTCAATATGTACTGAGTTCATACGAAACGATACTAAAATAAGCTTTGTACTCGGTGTCACATCAGAACGTTAAAAGATCTAGTTGCCTCAGGAGCTTAACCAAAAAGCCATGAAATGTAATCCGTCGTTTTGCAAACACCGACTAGGCACAATTTAACTCAAGATATAGTGATTTTCTAAGCCCGGCTTAGATGTGGCACAAGGCCGAAAGTATGGGGCACCCAGTGAGGATCGAACTCACTACTCGGTCGTAATTGATCTAGCAAGAGAAGCTTTCTAACCATTACACCACGTCAAGGTGCCCATTTAACTCACGATATATGTACACAAGTAAACCAAAGAAGGTCATATAATCCACCTGACCTAAGAAGAGGTTGAGTTTCTCACACCATCGCAAGGAGATCGAACGTTTAAAGAAAGACCCCAAACCACATACCTTTGATCTAGCCGATGCTTAGTTGACGAAGTTCCGAAGTGAATAAATCATTGTTTGACCTATGAAAAATGTAGTCACGTATATTTATCAGGTGTTACTAATATAAAATTACAGCAGTTCGATTCTGAATACGCACTCCAAAATTCTGGCTTTGTGACAGGTTAAACTAATTTTGTTTTCTATCTGGTGGATGGGGTAGTTGTATAATTCTTTATTTTTACCGGTGACAGGGTCAATGTTCGAATTATGGTAAATAGCATAGAATTTGAATGCCGGTTTTCGATGTAAGCGGTCAGGTTATTCCCACATAGAGTATTAGCGTAGAATATTTTTTCTCGTTCCCGTTTCGCTCTAGTTAGTGATGTTACGTCATACCACGGAATATCTTGGACGCAATCACTGTCTAAGGGCGCTTTTCGATGACAGTAAAAGCCTTCTTTTGCGGCTGCTTAAGAATATCAATTAATTAAATTAAACCAACTTAAAGGTTTCATCTTAAAATGAAAAAAAAACCTCGAGATTTGAATAGAAAACGAATTGAGATATGTATGCTTTTCAATGGCAAGAAGGCGGAGAAAGGGGGAAAGTGAGAGGAGAGGTTTAGGGTGAAGAAGAAGAGAAAGGAGGAGGGAGAGGGATACGTAAAGATGGTGATAGAGAGGGAGAGAGTGAAAAGGAGGGATAGGAAGAAAGAAGGAGGAAGAAAAGGAAGAGAGAAGTATGATGGAAGCAGGGAGAGAAAAGGAGATAGAAAGAATGAAAGAGAGGAGAGAGCAGTAGGAAGAAAGAGGAGGGGAAAGAGAAGCTCTGCGAGACAGAAAGAAAGAAAGAAAGAAAGAAAGAAAGAAAGAAAGAAAGAAAGAAAGAAAAGGATTGTGCAAGAGTAGTAGGAAGACTGAGGAAATGAGAGGAAAGGGAGAAAGACGAGAGACACGAGAGAGAGGGAAGGGAGAGAAAAGGAGATAGAAAGAATGGAAGAGAGGAAAGAGCAATAGAAAGAAGGCGAGTGGAGAGAGAAACTGTGAGAGACGGAAAGAAAGAAAGAAAGAAAGAAAGAAAGAAAGAAAGAAAGAAAGAAAGAAAGAAAGAAAAAAGGATTGGAATAGAGTAAAAGGGTAGTAGTAAGAAGGAGGAGTGAGAGTTAAGGAAGAAACAGGAGAAATACGAGAGAGGAGGAAAGAGAAGAGGAAGAGGGAGTTAGAAATAGAAAGAAAGGGAATGAGAGAGATAGAGAGACAAGGAAGGAAATGTAAAAAAAGAGGGAGAAAGTAATGTAGGGAGTAGAGAGAAGGGGCGGAGAGAGGGTTAGAGAGAGATCGAGAAAGAAGGAAGTGAAGAAAGCCGCAGAGAGTAAGAGAAGCTGAAAGAATGAAGGAGGGAAGGAAATGGCGATATATGGAGAAGGAGAGGAGCTGTGAGAAAGACAGATGTAGGTGGGGGGAGGAAAATAGGATAAACAAGGGAGGAGAAGGGCTGAAAGAGATATTTAGGGAGGCGGCGAGTGCAAGAGGAAGGTAGAGACGGGAGGAGAAACTTAGGCGGAAGAGGAAGGGAGAGAGCAGCAAATTAGAGATAGGGAGAGGGGGAATTAGAAAGAAGGCGAGAAAGGGCGAAAGAAAGGGAGGTGGTGAGGGGGTAAACCCGATGCCTGGTTTGTATGTACACGTCAGTAAAAGAGAAGTGGTTTTATCTGACAATCATCATTTAATAAGGTCTCAATATGAGAAGAGACCAAAACCGGACTCATTACGCTAATGAAGGGTTCAGCTGTCGCTATACAGTAGACAGATACCGAACGAGATTAGCTTGATCTCGTACGCTATTTAGACACTTCACGAGAATTCAGTTTACGCCATATGTTTGTGAAACTTCTTGTAATATAAAAAAACGTATTCAGGAACATACGAAAGATTCATTTATGGGAAAACGATATATAAGTTTTATATATCAAGAACAATTTCAAGGAAAGTTTTCGTGTAACACTATTCATACTTTAGTAAAGTCATGAGAATATTTTTTTCGACTTTTACTGCATACGTCATTCTCTGACAGACCTTTAATAAAAATGAAATATGTTAGATTGATAAAAGTTAAATATTTGTTTTTATCTTAACACACACACACACACACACACACACACACACACACACACACACACACACACATATATTATATATATATATATATATATATATATATATATATATATATATATATATATAGTTAAGTTATGAAGAACTTGGTAATCCGTATGGGTAATCCCAAGGAGGATGAAATCCTGAGAGCTCAATGTAAATCCAGAGCTAATATTTAAAAAGAAAAACAGACCACTTTAAGGTGCCATTATAATAATTTATTTCATCAGAGCCCTTTTAAAGGACGCCGGATGATCAGATAGCACAAAAATGAAATGAAACTAAAAATGAAATTAAAAAATACACTCACTGTTAAATTTTTATAAAACTTACACTACCCATCAATTTTAATTTCATTTTCCGTTTCATTTCATTTTTGGGAGTGCTATCTGATGATCCGGCGTCCTTTAAAAAGGACTCTGGTGAAATAAAATTATAATATTACCAAAATGGGTCTGTTAAATATTTATATATATATATATATATATATATATATATATATATATATATATATATATATAAAATATAGTCTTAAGGTGTGCTATATTTATGGGATAAAGTGCTCAATATCAGAGATAGAGCGTGTAAAAATATAAAAATCTGTTTAACATTATATGCAATCGTCGTGGCCTGACGATTGCATCTAGCATCTATATGAAACAACTGTCGCCTCTAAGTGTTCTTTTCTATGTTCACTTTTATATATATATATATATATATATATATATATATATATATATATATATATATATTATGAAATGGACAAAGTCCGACAATTATTTTAAGATATTTTTATGTTTATACGTTCTTTTTATACATACAA